TGTGTGTGTGTGTGTGTGTGTGTGTGTGTGTGTGTGTGTGTGTGTGTGTGTTTGGTTTATTTATTCATTTTAAAATGTCTCACCTTTTCCTTTTTATCAATTCAAGCTGAAAACTTGGCCTAAAACTCCTTCGGAAAAGAATCACCAACTATTTTGATCTTTGATCTTTAACTTTCTGAGATTCTAAGCTCAAAGGTAGATGCATTTTTCCGACTTCTGATTTTTTTTTTCCACACTTTGGGAACTCAATACACATGAGTAAATAGATGAATTCTGAAAAGCAGCCTCCTTTACCGTTCACAACTACAAAACTCCTATTCTGCACACAAATGCTGATACTGGCACACATATGACATTTATTTCCTATAGGCATTTCTGCCCTGACTTTGCCTCTCATTCTGTTAGCAGACAGTTTGTCTCTGGTCTGTTTAGCCAATTAAAAAGAGCAGGATCCGCACCTGTCTCAGTTGCTGATGGGTTACAACGTTCAAGCACAGTGCCTGGCAAGGAGTAGGCGTTAGGAATATGTGGATTGAATGAATGGTTGCTAGGGAGTATGGTGGCGTCTTAATTTTATGCTGGGCTCATCCCAACGCGCGCACGTGGGAACTTCACAAAAGTTATTTCACTAGCGCGGCGCTGAATCCCCTTATCCTACAGAGTTTACTGAAGTGGGGCCAGTTCTCCGCCCCTTTTAACTTCACTGCCAAGGCTGGAGAGAGGTGGAGTGGCCTGGAAGACAGTTGGAAGGAGGGTGGGAGATCTGCTTTCTTATAAAGATGCTTTGGGAGACTGGCTCTGTAGCGCCAAATTTTCAGGAAGAAATGAGCCTGAGTCCCAAAGGAAAGGAAAAAAAAAAAAAAAAAAAAAGCCCTGCAGCTGAGCTCAATGTTTATCTTCTGTTAAAGAGATAGCCTGAAAGCCTCCGTGTACTGAGAGCGTGTTCCAAACCAGAGAAGGGGGCGCCCTAGTTTGCCCCCAGCAACCCATTAGTATAGGAAGACAACCAGCGAAGTCAGCCTCACTGAACCCACTTCTGGGGCTCCCTGTGGCCGACGCGGGCTTCGGGTTCACGTCGTCCCTTCCCAGCTGTCGTGGGTTCCCGCCACTCCCGAGCTCAGCTCTTTCTTCCAGACCCACGTTAGGAAACAAATCAACTCCATGGGAAAAGCTCCATGAGCGCCCAGAGGACAGGTCCCCACGGAGAATCAGGTCATAACAATTTGTTTTGTCCCATTACGTGAGGTTGTTAGTTTCTTAATCATTGCTCCCTCCCGACACGCACAAAATCGTCCCCAGCCCCTGGAGGGTCCTGCGGGGCTCTCAGTGCAGCAACAGCACTGGGAGCTCCGAGCTCCAGGGAAAGCGCGCAGGGAATGCCTCCTTGTACTCGTTCCTGGGAAAGCGCCAGCGTCCAGAGAGAGCGTTTCCTTTTCCGAGGGCCGGCAGGGTGGCATTCCAAACCCGAGAAAGGTGGGCAGTGCGCAATCCTCCCTTTAAAAAAGAATAAATAAATAGAAGCCAGTGCGCAGCCCCGCTCGGGTTTCCCGAAGCGCGCACCGCTGTCGCTGCCGGGGCGGCTGGGTGTCTGCGCTCCCCGCCTCCGCTGGGCTGACACGGGAGGGAGGAGCAGGAGCTGGAGGGGGTGTTGCGGGTGGGGGGAGCGCGAGCCATCCCGAGCCAAGACAAGCAGCACATTCACAAATAACGCCCCCACCCCCAGCGCACGCGCTCCCATTCAAAGCTGCCCCGCTCCGTGGCCGCACCACCGCTCCAAAGCCGCGCCGCCAGCCCCAGCGCAGCACTGCCTCGAGGGGCGCACGCCGGAGCCCGCCTGCCGGCCGCCGCAGACGCCAAGCCACGGCAGTCGGCGCAGGAGGCGGCCACCTCTTCCAGGGAGGGGTCTCGCCCGAGACTCCCCTTGGTCCCCGCCATGGGGACCATGGCACGGCTGGAGGCGCCCCAGCACCCCGGGTTCCTGGCCCGCTTCCTCGGTGGCACCTGGTGCCTGCTCTACATCGCCGGACAGGTAGGGCAGCCTGTGCGTCTTGCGTCCCTCCCGGGGACTCTGCTTCCAGCCTGAGCTACAGCGAAAATCGCTACAGTGTGGGGCGCGCTGTCTTCCGCGAAGGTCCATCCTGGGGCTGCGCCACCGCCCAAGCTGGGGACAGGTGGCTCGGGGTTGGGGCTTAGGCGTGCTCTGGCGGGGTCGATCCTTGCGTTTAGCCTCGGCCCAGCCTCCTGGGACCCTGCCCCGGCTTTTCTCCCTTGCCCGTGTCTTGCTTCCAACTAGGCAGAGCCGGGGTGAGAAGGCGGCGCCTGAGCTGGGGGAGCGGTCCTCTGCAGCCGTCCACGACCCCCCACAGTTTCCGACAGTCCTTTGCGGAGCCCCCTCTCTAGCTCCAGGCTGAGGCTTGGGCGGCGCCGGGGAGGCTAGGGTGCTGGGACACTCCTCCTCACTTCCGCCTTTCTGAGGACCTGGTGAACTTCTGACACCGTCACCCTAGGGCCGCCGGCAGCCGAGTGTCGGGGGCATAGCGATGTAAGGTGTGCGGACGTCAGACCAGGTGGGCTCCCTGGTGTCTCTGCGGTCTAGAGGTGGCTCTGGCGGGCGGGTGCCCGAGGACTAGCCCAGACCACACCCCCTCCGAATGCTCCCAGGACCTTCTCCAGGGCCAGACGGGGTGTAGGAACTGGGGAGTTCTCCCAAGTGGGAGGTTCAGGCCCCGAGGCGGCGCGGAAGGGCCCTAAAAGAGGGTGCCTGATTAATTCAGTTTGCCTGGTAGTGGTTTATTATACCAAGACTTGGAGGAGGAAGCTGCTTAGGGAAGAGGGCAGGGGTCAAGGGTCGAGTCAAACTCAGGATTCCTGCGGTTTTCACGCTTTCCAGAGTCAGTCAGCTTTTGATTAAAACCCACTATTTAGGCAGTTTGTACATAATTTAGCCTCCATAGATTTGCCTTTCATAGGATTACTTGGGTAATTCTGGGAAAATACCCAAATACTCTTGGCTGGAATTATCGCCAGATAGCCTCCCTTTCCTCTGGATTGCTTATGGAGACTTGTCCAAATAGGGGGATTTCCTTCCCTTGCTTTTTCTTAATGTTTCGAAACTTGTTCTCAGATCTCTATTTTAATGGTCATTTCGATTGCAGTGGTACACTTCTAGAGGCTGAGAGAGGACCCGGAGTATCGTCGCAGAAGGGCTGGGAGGAGCAGGGATTACTCTCATCAGTAGTAGAAATTTTCCGCAGGGAACACCTGCTTAGATTGGAATATGACAAACAGTTGGAAAAGTTTCTGTTAATTCTCAGCAAGTTGTATTCCCACCATGCTTTGTTCCATGGCAGGACTTCCCAGCCATGGCTGCACAGTAGGATTACCTAGGGAGCTCTAGAAACTTCCTGTGCTAGGGCCACACCCCAGCTGAATTACATCACAATCCTGGTGGGAGAGGGGAGGCTGCGACATCAGAACTTCTCAAGCTCTTGGGTAAGTCTGCTGTGCAGCTGGGTTGAAAACCAGTGTGCAAAAATGACCTGCCTTAATGTGCTTTTTTTTTTTTTTTCTTTTTTGAGACGGAGTTTCGCTCTTGTTTCCCAGGCTGGAGTGCAGTGGCGTCATCTCCGCTCACTGCAACCTCTGCTTCCTGGTTTCAAGCAATTCTCCTGCCTCAGCCTCCTGAGTAGCTTGGGATTACAGGCGTCTGCCATTATGCCCAGGTACTTTTTTGTATTTTTAGTAGAGACGGGGTTTCACCATGTTGGCCAGGCTGGCCTTGAACTCCTGACCTCAGGTGATCCACGCCCCCTCCTCCTTCCAAAGTGCTGGGATTACAGGTGTGAGCCACCGGGTCCGGCCAATGTGACTTTTTATAGAATCATGGCCTCAGAAGTAAACTCGAAGAAAGTAAAGGCGGCCTGAGACAGAGATCTGGGAGTCTTGGCAGGTAGCTTCCAGTCCCAGCACTGTCCCTAAGCACGGTACCCTTATGGTGGAGACCCTTACCTTCCACTTCCTCATCTATTAAGTGAGGGTGTTGGCCCGCTTTTTGGCAGGCACTGCCAGCTCTACCACCACCAGGCAGGTTGACATCTGAACCAAATTAAGACATCTTCCATCTTATTTTTAAGTACCTGCAGGGTTAGAAATTCTGCCTTATCTTTGAGATTTTGCTGCAGTGTTCATATTTGGATCCAACAAAGATGCTAAAAAGGAGCTTGTAGTTTCTTAGATTTTCAGTATTTTTTAAAAATGCTTTCCCACTGCCTGTTCAAACACACTTCAAGTCATGAGGTGCTTTCTCGGCATTCATGACAAACTGATTTTTCCTAACATTACACACCTGTTCTTTCTTGCGCCGCTTCTCAACCATTTCTTCTGGATGCGGATGATAACAGCAGATTTGAGTCTTGTATGTTGCAAGTGGCTTACTGTTTAATTCCAAATGGATATTTCTCATTCCACCAATTCAGAGCTGCTATCCACATGTGAGGAGCCTGATGAAACTTGTCTGGGAAAGAACAGAAAAGAGTTTAAAGTGGTAGATTGGCTCATTATTCTGGTAAATGCAAAATGCCTTTGAGAGTTAACTTGGTCAGGTGTTTGTCAGAGTAGCTGTTTAATGTCTTCACTTTTTTTTTTTTTTAAACCATATAGGCATTGTATCTAACCAACAAACAGGTCAGAAATTTGAGGATACTTAATATCAAATCAAGAAGAAATCATTCTATGATCAATAGCCAGTGCCAGATGATTTGAACATTAAATGGAATTTATATACGCTTTAAGTTCTTTTTGAATCAAAACGCTCAATACATGAAGGCATAATTATCAGACCTCTCATAGAGATTGTAGCCATAGTAAAAGGAGACTGTGCAATCAAGAGCTTCTGCTACCCAAATGAAATTATGTAT